AGGTGTCATGATGTGAACGTGGATACATAAACTTGCTTTGTTAACTAAAGAAAAAACTTACTCCAAAGTCTAACGTGGGAAGCAGATTGAGTTGTAACAGGTAGTTGTCCTTACCTGTGAGCTTCTAGCACACTTGGTACAGAATGTCATCCTAGACAGGGCTTAATTTGATGCAGGAATACACTGTCTTCTTATTTTCTCGGTGTCATGATGTGAACGTGGATACATAAACTTGCTTTGTTAACTAAAGAAAAAACTTACTCCAAAGTCTAACGTGGGAAGCAGATTGAGTTGTAACAGGTAGTTGTCCTTACCTGTGAGCTTCTAGCACACTTGGTACAGAATGTCATCCTAGACAGGGCTTAATTTGATGCAGGAATACACTGTCTTCTTATTTTCTCGTTACTTGTGTCATCCTAGACAGGGCTTAATTTGATGCAAGAATACACTGTCTTCTTCTCCTTATTTTCTTGTTACTTGTACATACTGTTGTTGTGTACTGCCTCTGTATCTCATCTTGGACTTTACATCTTCCCCAAGCTTGCTCAGAGTGACTATTCTGCGACTCTAGCAGAATGGAAGTGCCTGAAAGCTAACTTCCCCATGACATCCCTCCAAATATGGTATCTGTCTGAACAGGATGGAGAGTGGGATGGAGAAGGGAGTGAGGGAGAAAAGAAGGCAATCCTCCAAAACATGGGAGATATACTTCCCACTTACAAAGCGCTGTACCTTGTGAAGATGTGTCCTGTCAATCTGCTTCTCTTAGTTCCATGGCCAGCCCTATTCACGAAGGCCACCAACACTTTCTTGTCTCCCTAAAGTTCAGACCACACTGCAGCATATGAATGGATAGGCGCATCACAGTAATATCATTTTTTCTGTCATGTGCCTGCCCATTCTTGTACTCCACTGTGGCCTTCATGGAATAATTTGGGATGGAAGGCTACTGGTCCACCTGTGCATTACTGCATAGCCATCTGATCCCTTTCACCTCTTCAGCTGAGAAGCTGCCTTGTATCATTTACTTACCTATGTTTTTGTAACATTTATATGCTGCCTTTCCCCAAGGAAACTTAAGGTGATGGTCCTGGCTTTCCTCCCTTTCTTTCCCCAGTTTATTCTTTTAGCAATTTTTAAAAATAGGTCAGGCTGAAAAAGAAACACTGGTCCAAGATCATCCGGTCAAGTTCATGGCTTGGTGCAGGTGAGAATCTGCATCTCCACCATGCTAATTGTCACTAAACCATACTAGCTTTTGATATATCTATGACATTTCATAGACTATATGTCTATTACACTGCTAATAATGGTTTGAATTGAAACCTTTCACACCTCTGTGAGGTACCCTCATTAAAAATGATCTGGCAGCACAAGATGGAAATGGATTACCAGTTCCTTATGGAACAAATCCTGTTGTCTCAATATAAAGCAAATGTATTAAAAACTTCACCTGTCAAATCCTGGCGAGGTCTTCACGGAAGCTGGGATGAGTCAACCTTAATTGCTACAGAGGGGATGAAAGGAAAGACATACAGGAAAAAGAGCAATTTTCATGTCACAAGACTACTTACAGGATACATTGTTATAGAGCAGGTACAGAACAGTCAAGCAAGATTTTTTTCCCAAGGATTCAACATGATGGCATGCATTTTAAAACGTCTACATCACTGGTTGATCTTGTTCTATGGAAAAAATGGTCTAATGTGTGTAATTAAGAATTGTTACTAAAGTAAGAAGAGGATGCTCTAAAGAACAGTTTTCAGAACATATCAGTTGATTTTCCACTATTGCCCTATATGGTGAGGACATGAAAGCACAAGATAACAGGGGCCCGAAACCTATTGGGGATATATGCAAGAGGAGATAGATAGATAGATAGATAGATAGATAGATAGATAGATAGATAGATATAGATAGAGATAGATAGATATAGAGATAGATAGATAGATAGATAGATAGATAGATAGATAGATAGATAGATAGATAGATAGATAGATAGATAGATAGATAGATAGATAGATAGATAGATACTGTACAAGATAAACCACAGAAGTTGTCGTGGCTAATTGCAGCTAACTGACAAGGCACTGAGAACATGTGAGGCACATGACCAACATGCAAACAACACTTTTCCAATTATCCATGGCAGCATGCCTGATTCCTCTATCACTCATATAAATATCCAAAAGGATTGTGAAAAGGGTTTATTAGTTTAGAAGTGGTTTGCAGGAGACGAACCTTCATGAATTGTTCCTAATGTGTGGTTCTAAATGTTATTGGATTAAAACAACCTCTGAAGTCCTTCACTATAGGCTTCTGAGAGCAGAACTACAACATCTGGGGGACTATTTCACAATTGGGGGGGGAATATTACACCTCCCAGAGTCTCCCAGGCAGCAAGATTCTGGGAGATCTCCTAGCCATAATGGTATGGCTAGGGGATACTATTGGCTTTTCCAAACACTGTGAACTTTTGTGTTCTACACCACTGCTTCCTGGCTCAAATGAATATTGTATGGTGCTGCTTTTCTGCTGGGGATGTATCTAAACAATAAATAAATAAAAGCCTCAAAAGCATTCTTAACTGGCAACTGTTGAAAACTGACTCTGGCTATATCTCCTGTGTATGCTATTTCAGCAATGTGGTTTTATTGGTGTTTGATCATATTGCTTTGTTACAATCTGACGGCAGCTAATGGTCTGGAAATGGAAGTGCTAGATGCGAAAGGATCACATTGCCATTTACAATTTGCAACTTCTTTGCGAATGATTAGATATTAAAAACTTAACGGATCAATAGAAGATTACTACTTTGTAACTGCAATTTATATAAAAGAATAAATGTGTACTCCCTCCCCCAAGGTGTTTTGCTTTCTTCAGACAAGAGAACTTACAGCATGTTCTCTCTAAAACGGTCTTGCCCCATAAAGCGTATGAAGTGTTCCCAGCTTCTGTGCTTTGAAAAGGACATTTCACTGGAATGTTAATTAGGAATTCTTACAATAGCCTGACGTAGAAAGGGGCTACTTATTCTCTGGCATATTACTGGAAATGTCACTTCTTTCCCTTTTCTTTGTCTGCTCAAATTCAATTCAGTCAATTCCAAATTGTCACGATGAAGCATGTTTCCACACTTATTTTCTTTTCATCTATCTAACAACTGCTGACATAATAATTAATGTTTATGACTTTGCTTGAAGCTATATTCTTCATTTCACAGAAGAAGGAGAAGGAAGAGGAGAAACAGACGTAAATCATTCTTGCTACTCTTAAAACTTGTCATCCTTCACTAAATATTTAGCTCTTAATACTCTTGTAAGCTCAGTTCTCTTGAAAGACATTTGATTTCATTTCTCCACCCCTTTGTGAATTTGAACTTTTTCCATATTTGGTTCTGGTGCAAGCTACATGACCTTTCTTGGCTTTGGGGGGTGGGGAGTGGGAATCTGTCTCAAAAAGCTTTTCAGTTATCTACATGTTTCTCCATTTCCCTTACACAATTATTTAAGCAAATATTTTATTCCATTTAACTGTTTCCCCTTTTCAGGTTCCATGTACAGCAGGAAAAAACCTACAAAAATGCCTCCACAACATCGTGGAAAGTTCGTTTAAAATCAACAGTATAATTTTTAACCATCGGTGAATAAAATTGAAAATAGAATTATTTCACTAACTATCTGCATGGACGTTAACTATACTGGTTCCCCAATCTATTGAAATTCAGACTTGTCACTTTTGTTGCTTTAAAACACTTTGAATAATTACCTCAAGTAACGTTAGGTGTAATATTTAGACCAGCCAAATAACAATACGTAATCATGCGCCGTCAAGTCAGTTCTGACTTATGGTGACCCTTCTTGGTTTTTCCAGATAGAGAATACTCAGGAGTAGTTTTCCATTCCCTTTCTCTGGGGCTGCCTAGGGACTGTGCAACTTGTCCAAGGCCACACAGGCTGGCTCCTCTTCTAGGAAGAACAGTGAGGAATTGAACTCTTGACCTCTGGCTCTGTGTGCAACTTGTCCAAGGCCACACAGGCTGGCTCCTCTTCTAGGAAGTGAACTGTTGACCTCTGGCTCTGTAGACAGATACCTAAACCACTAAGCTATCCAGCCAGCTGACCAGACAAACAGTCGAAATGTGTGCTGTCACCTAACAAAGATACTATTATCACATACATTCCCATTAAAAGAAAAGGACCTATCCTACATGACTGTCTTTCATTGTTTTATTTTAGTTGGTCCAATTCTTCGTAGATTTGATTGATTAAAACACAACAACTTTCTTTGTTTGGAGGATGCACCTTATAATGTAAGAAGCAAGTATTGTATCAATTCAGGTCTTCTGACCCTGCAGCACAGGCTTCTGCGGTTTAGCCCACAGCGCCAGTTGGTCCAATTTTTCGTAGATTTGATTGATTAAAACACAACAACTTTCTTTGTTTGGAGGATACACCTATAATGTAAGAAGCAAGTATTGTATCAATTCAGACCTGCAATAAATTGTGTTTGGGATGGGAGGAGCAATCCATTATGGGGGAAATTAAATGCATGTGCATGAATTTGTCCTTTGGATGTATGGTGTTGCATGATGGCAGGGTTGGAAAGTGCAGGTTTTTATGTAATTTTGTTTATTTCACCGATTGATGGTGATTTGGGCAGGATCTAAGGATGATGGGTATGGCTGATGGGTTGTAGGACAAATAGATCTGGAGGACTGCAGTTTTCCCACCCTTGCTTTAACACTTTGATCTTGAAGAATATTCTTTCCTAACTAACTCTTGTAGCACTCTGAAAATGTTATGGAACAGAAAATGACACAAAAGAACACCACTTTGGTTAAAGCAGCCATCATCTATATATAAAGTATTTATCATGTCACTGATATTTGGAATTATTCTCCTGCTTCATTATCGTTCAGAGGATTTAAAAAATGCCAGAATTCCTACTGCTCTGCATTTGGCTGATACGTTTGCACTTCCACATCTTTCCACTTCCAGAAACTCCAGATAAAATAAATCGTGATGAAGCCAAACTTGCTGCAGATGCTGCAGGGTCTGAAAAGTCAGAAAGAACTACAAAGAGGTCTAGAGTATCGACCATCCGGAGGATATTTGATATGGCCAAACACCGAACAAAAAGATCTTCTTTTTTCCCAACTGGAGTGAAAGTTTGCCCTCAGGAGTCGGTGAAGCAGATTTTGGCAAGCCATCAAGCTTATTATAGGCTAAGAGGTGAGATATTATTATT